TTTCCTGCCGGCTTGAATTCTCACTTGACTGACTCACGACTGCCATCCAAAGCACACGAGAAGTCAATCGAACAGTCCACTCGGCAAGCCTGCAAGAAAGCACCACTCCCTGCTCAATACAAAGTGTTTTGGGGAATTCACCCTCATCAGTTGAGCTTGAGTAGGCTGGGGAAAATTGTGCCTGAAGAGCACCACTTATATAGTGCTCTCCAGGCACAAACATCACCAGGGATACAAACTAATAATAATAATAATATACAAGTAGTTGGGCGCAACTCAAGACTAATAGAATGGAGAAGAGTAGCCAGGTGTGCACTGCGTCCATGTTATAACGGGGTTGTGTGTGCGAGTTTATAAAGAGTGGAGGATAAGACCATGCGAGGTTGACGGAGGAGCATTTTTTAATGGATTTTCTTGTGCTATTTTTCAAGCTTTGCAACAGCGGAAGAGGATACTCCAGACCAATACGTAACGGCGTAATCGAATACTGGGCGAAGGTAGGCTAAATTAAAAAGAAGCTTGCAAGAGATTGGGAGGTAGGAGCAGAAAGAGAACGATTCGGGTGGAGAACAAACGATTAACAAGAATAATGATTAGGCTAGCCTTTCACCCAATCAACCAGCCGAAACATTCGCCGAAAATGAGGCGAGTAGCGAAACATCGCTAAGCATTTCATCTAATTTGGAGGGTTCCTTTCAGTATCTCAACAATTTTGAAGCCAACATGGCAACAATTCTTGTAGGCTTTTTCGAATATATCCCAACTTTACAGCCGATTTCGGAACAATCAGCTGATTTTTCAGCCGGATTTTTGAGCTAGAGGATAAACTGTGTGGGGAACAATTGGTGTAAAACGCAATGTGAAAATTCATCAACTACCAATAATGTCCAACATGGCTACCTTTAGGGTGTTTTGTGGGCTTGAATGAAAGGTCCGAAAATTACTACATTCACTACAGATTTCCTCAGATAACCTCAGATTACCTCAGAATCTATTTCCTGGCTATCTAAAAATATTATGTTCCCACGTGGGAACTTTGGCGGGAAATAGGTTTTAAACTGGTCTCGTCATCTTCCTGTAATCGATCGGCATTCTTCGTTGTCGTGCGACGTAGCTTGTCAACATTTTGCTGCGTTCACCTTCCCCTCACCTTCCAAGCTGGAAGGCTGTTGATTTGCGTACTGGAGATGTGTTACAGCTACATGTCAGGTTTTTGAATGCCTGAGTAGCCTGTCAGTTGTGTGGCCTGTTATCGCACTTTCTGACTGCTTATCATCTCGGAAAGGCCTTGTAACTCCAGACACAAGCCATCCTGTCCACTTTTAAAGGTAGCAGCCTGGTCCTAAATTTCATATGGCATTGAATTGACCGTAACTTTGGTGTCTCTCAATGGATTTGAGTGAAATGTTAACCACACACTCCTGTCACTATGCTGACCCTCTGGACATGATTTCAAAGTTATTGCGCCTCACTGACAGGCTTTCCAGGCCGGACAAACTCAAAATCCCGGCATAGTGCCACGGTGTGCGAGCCACCCAGGAGCCAAACCTATGCATTTACAATTTTTTCACCTGTTCTTGCCCATTCTGTCCCTGCGCGGGATCTAAACCTAAAAAAGTCCAGAAGCAGCCATGGGTGGTGGGATAGGGCCCCTCAACGTGGCCCTGGAATCTGTCACAATGTCACGAGTGGGCGTTCTCGCACAGATTCCCACAGACCCAAGTAATTTTTGATTTTTTTAGGTTTAGGGCGTGCTACGAGGTCGTAGCTTTGATACAACATCCATTGCTGGGACCTCCACAGCAAGCCATTTCCACAGCGCTGCAAACCAAATCCAGGATACCCTCAAAAATCGGCAAAACTACCACTCACGTTCCACTACTAGGCCTTGACAGATTATGCTAATATTTTCGTGAAATTATGCTTTTCGCATTGCTGAAAAAATTGCAGAATTATGCTATTTTTATGCTAAAAGTTATCATATTATGCCGCATTATGCTCACATATGCTGCTAATGTTTAATGTTTCTGTCCAAAATAACAGGGGAATTTTTGGTAGAGGGCGTTGTTCTGTAGTAGCAAAAGTTCAACGGGGTCAACGCACCGTCCGACCTAGCTACGATCGTCGATACGTCACTGATTGTAGTGGACTGGACATGTTATCAAGGGAGTCGTAAACCTACGATTTTCTGGTGCATCTACTTGTACTTGTAGACCATTACAACTGAATGGAATTTGATGCGAACAGGCAGATTATTCCAATTTTATGCGATTCGTATGCAATTTTCCTCGAATTATGCGATTATTCGATTTTGGTAGGAATTATGCGAAAAATTATGCTAGCATAATCTGTCAAGGCCTATCCACTACTGCCTAGTACTGAATCCTACCAGACTTCATGACACGACTCAAACTTGCCAAAGTCACTAAATCAACGTCAACTACAATAATCAAGCCACATAACTGCAACGTCACGAGGGTGCTGGCAAAAGTCCGGCTTCGCCCGCCGTCGTGCAGTCCAATACTGTATAACGGAGAAGTCTAACGAGTCACAAAAGTCTAACGTTTTAACGACAAATTCTTTTTCGTTATTTATATAATACGTTATCGCTAGATGCTCCTTTTTGAAAATGTTTTCAATGAGTGATGTGTCGCTTTGTTTTGCTCTGATTGGTGCCTTTTCTCCAATGTCATGCAGTCGTATTTATTCAGCTTTTATTTCTTGTGTACTTGCATACTGGTATTAGTTTAGTCCCACAACCTGCGAAAAAAATGATCAGCTGTAGCACCTACTCCACTTTTATGTTTATGTATCTATGTCATTCGGATCTTCCCAAGTTGTACAATGTACTGTTGAGATACCGAATTCAAATAGATCAATACCATACCTTGCCATGTCTGTGTAAAGATGCGCATTCAGATGGGTGGTCAGGTACCCATCGTTAAACTTTCTGCACGTAATCATGCCAAAATTACAAAAACGATAAACTTTTTGGTCGTTAGACGTTCCGGTTTTACAGTACGTGGCTGAGAAACGCGATTTTTTGGACTTGGAGCAAAATTCTGCGCACTATCGCGGGTTTCCATGATACGACAAGTTGCGTACGGTCTGTTCAGATTCAAATAAAGTGCTGCCAACAAATGACGGCGTGCAACAAAAATCTTTCCTTGCAAGGGCACATTTTCAGCCATAACTCTCGAACGGCTGGTCAGATCGAGACAAGATTTTCAGAGATTTTGCAGCTGTTCATGCTCTTTCAACTGATGGAGCACTCGATATGAATTTACAAATTCGATATTCAGGGATTTTACGAACAGGCTGCCCCCGTTAACGATGAATAACAAACCACGTAGCTGATCTACAGACTACAGTATTTTTTATATTTTTTAATATTATTATTTTTTACCAAGTACACAACCTACTCGTCAGAAGGGGAGAAGACAACAGAGTATACAATAACAAAACAGAAGGGAGAGTTGGGGCTGCAAAGCAAGCCTGTGCTGGTGAGGCAAGGCCACAACACCGAACTATGGTCTCGGCGTTAACGTGAGCTTGCGCACCATAGTATGTATCATCCATTACGTCAGGCCCCACTATTAAAGAAAGAATACACCGGTATGTCGGCACCACTGTTCAAGTCACGCCATGCCAACCAGGTGACAACAACCTGAAACGAAAAGTACGCCAGTAGCACTGAACTATCCAATCACATCTGGAACCGGCAGAACTCTAACGCTCAGTAGAGTCCACGAAGTCCAGTGGAGGATAAAAGATCATGCCTGATCGAACATTAATATCACAAAATCGGTATTCCCTCTGTGCAAGAAAAAAGCACCAGTTAGAGTAACACAAAGCGAAACATCAAAGCGACACATCACTCATTGAAAACATTTTCAAAAAGGAGCTGTTTTAACCGGGTACATTGTGGCCCGTCATTAAGAATGCAGGCAAGATGGGCGTTAAATGCAGAAGACGTATTGCAAGACTTCATTTCAAAGGGCAGAGCATTCCAAAGTAAAGTAATCCTTCTAGGCAATGAGCGATACCCGCATGCAATCTTATATCGGCATAACGAAAGATTATTTGCAGAAGAGCCGCGAGTGGTGTAAGCAGGTGTACTGTGCCTACAAAATAGAGAATCTAAACTGGTAACCGGGTGAGCTACTTTACACTGAAAGATAACTTTAATGAACAACTGTAAGAAACGGTGGTCCTGAGGGCATAGCTTAAGAGAGTGGTAAAGGGGGTCCACGTCAGCACAGTAATGGGCACCACAGGCTGCTCGGATTGCACGACGGTGAACAGCAAATAGGCGCTCACTGTCTTTTGCAGATAAGCAGGGTAAGAACGATTGAAATGCAAATTCTAGATCAGATTGAATTACGCATAGCACATAAAGGCGACAAGCGCACGGGGACAGTTGACGAAAAGAACTATATAAGCAAACCACTGTAAGCATGACCCTTGACATGAGTTGGTCCCCCAAAGGCGTTCTAGTGGGCGGCCTCTTGGCCAGTTAGAAGCACGTTCTCACAGCCAAGCTTCATAACCCGCTATACCGGCGGGAGATGCATCATTTGCGAAGTCCATACCTCGCTAGCTGTTGTTGTTGCGGCTGTTCATTTTCGTGTTGTCCTTATCGAAGTAGGCTTGGGTTCAGAGTGTGTATTCACACTACGCCCAAAACGTGGCGTACGTGACATTCTCGCCCGGATAGCCATGACAACATGGAAACGTAGCGGGAAAATCCTTACTGATACGAAAACGTAGACAAGGTATCCAGACCCCTGTACCGAGTTTCGTTCTGTCGTTCCCAGCAGTTTGTGTCCAAAAGAAGCTGTACACACAGCTGTACGAGCACCGTGTACGTGGCTGTGTGAATGCACCTGCATGAAAACGACGTCTGCCAGTACGTCGTATTCCAAAACGTGACGCGTATTGTAATGTAGTATGAATAGCCCAATAACCACTGCGTTCTGAGACAACCTGCTGCGCAGCGATCAGAATTTGGAAGATTTCTAGTTTGGACATAGACTGGAAGAAGCAAGAACAATGGAGGATGGCGATTACGAAACGTACTTTATAACCAGTTCCGAAGCCACTGAGTTCGTTGAGTGCTTCTTCGAACGAATGTACTGCAAGACGTGGGAAGATTGTAGGAATGACGAGCCTGTCTGGGTGGGACCCATGCAGCCATCCAAAGTATGCTGGGGTCCCCCCTTGTACGCTCCGATGTGCTCACTCTCCGTCCATAGCTTTGCTTGGACGCTTGAAAAAGAGATTCGGACGGGTTTGTCAGTCAGCAGAGTAGTGGCAACAAAAGGCAAGGTGTCAGGGTGGCAAGTTTTGAGCATAGAATATTTCATTGGCAACTACGATACGCCAACTGAAATCCGTGCAAAGACACGATTGTATTCAGCAAGTGGCAGTCCCCCTCTCACGTTTACATACATTATCCAGCTTCAAATGATACTGAGAGGTCTAGAAACCCTATACATGCATATTTGTGGAGTGGAGATATGGCAGGAGGACTTGTGATGGCCGGCTGGCCGACGAATGCAAGGTAAGAGAATGGAAAGCTGTCAGATCGAAGCAGAAGAGTACAGTGCAGCGCTGTTGATATTGTCAGTTGTATGGACTGTTGCCTCACGACATCTCCCAGTTTTCATTCGTACCTACCCAATGTTCTAAAGATGCACTATGGCTGTCCCTAAGTATTATGTCAAAGCAATGTATACTGAAACAGAGGTCTGATATTGCTCTAGGTTCTCCACCAATACCTGCAGCGCGAAGAATATGCATTTAGGGGGGGGGGGGGGGATTTGTTGCATTATTTGTTGGGATATTTAATTCGTCTCCCCTTGATTTTAATTTTTCTCTATTTGAATATTTTCTGATTCTGTGTGTAGCTGTTCTCCAGTGTGGTAAAATCGATTGGATGGAGCGTGCTGGTTGAAGACCTGATACACGTAGCTTTGATCAAACCAGCCGTCGTAGACTACGCTTGCAACAACATCCAGCCGAGCCAGATACACCAAGCTATTGTGCATTACCTGTGAATAATAATGTGTGTACAAATATTATAGTGCAGTGTCTCGCTTGCGTCGTTCCCGTACAAGTACATAAAACAATTTTTACAACACCCCGGGACGTTTGGTTCTAGCAAGAGTAGATAAACAGTCGAGCATAATTTGGCATCCCTTGGGAGGTAGGAGCACACCTACATGATTGTACCACAGTTCTAGTATGTAGTAGGGATCGGCGGATTCTGCTCGAAAAGGTGGCAGATTATAGGCCTCAACCAAATACGCTTAAAAAAAGAGCATAATTATTATGCTCGTCGCATATCAGGGAAAACGTCCATAATATGCCAAAGACTAAGCAATATATGCGAAAAGATATGCCAAAATATGCCAAAAATATGCTCGACATAAGCAGAAAGTGTAGATCATTTCAGTAAAATTACCACCTTGGAATATTCATTGGCTTCACGGCTATCATGCCTATGGTGCAAATCAAAACACATGCGGAATAGTATGGCTGGGGTGTGTCCCCAGCAACCGTAACGATAGTGTTCATCCATGGGGAAATGTAGCAAACGCCTCCACCATTCCAAGTTCATCCATAAAAGGCATTTCTGAACGCATTTGTCCATAATATGAATGTTTTGTCCTCATTTTCTTCAGAATATTTGAATTATATGCTGGCTTCATTCCAATATTCCCTTTGTCGCTCAATATGCCATACAAGTATATGAACTGTCTCACAAAATATGCGGAAATATGCGCAAGCATATTTGGTCGAGGTCTAGCAGATTTTGCTCGAAAAGCAGTGAAATTGGCAGAGCCATACAAACCTTATGGCGGGCAATTTCTCGAATTCTGCTCCATTTCTTTATCCACATACCAAACATGCATGAAACTTACCAGAAAAAGTACCGAATTCTGCCAATTTTTCTGCCTGCAGAATCCGCCGGACCCTAGTAAGTAGGCTACACAATTGTGTAGAATGCACTTGATCAGTGCTGGTGGTCAGCATGGTAAAGTGTTCGTAGGTCGTGCAGATAGTGTTTTCAATGAAAAGCAAGGTACTTCGAAGTAGAAATCATGGCAATACATTGTTTTATGCTCGGACTCGCCTTCTCACACTGATACAGTACATGTACCAGAAGATGCGAGTGAGTCAGCCTTTATCAGGTATCCCGGGGCGCACGAGCTAGTGACGGGTAGTTCGCAAAACTCCGCGTACATGTACTAGTAGATTATGCATGTTACGAAGTCATGACCTCTGGATTTTAGCAGCCATGACTGTGCAGGCTATGGATATTGCTCTAATAATTAAAAAAATTGAGGCATAGTTGGTGTTCGGTCATGATGGAAGCAGAAGTGGAGCTAAAGGAGAGATGAGTTGATTATTCGCAGGGTGAGGGTGACATCGGTTGGACGAGTATGACGATTACGAAGACAGGGTAACATGACAATTTTCAAAGGTAACTCAAACAAATTTGGTAATGAAAAGCTCTTTTTACAAAAGAAGTCAACTAGCGAGAGAGCTTGGAAGTTTAGCGCCCTACGCTATGCTGTTGTTGTTGTTGTTGTTTCTTTATTTTACTTCACCATATGAACAGGCAAGACTGCCTTCTCACCGGGGCTATTGGCCCACGGCTCTCACAATATGATGAAAATGTTTAAAATGTGTATGAAGAAGAAAGGAACGGAAAAGAAGATGAAATGAAAGGAAAGAAAACAGTAGGTATTAATTTTATGAAGGGGGGGGGGCGGTATGAAATGGGTATTATCATAGTTGATGAGAGAAGTATGATATACAATATTCTTGTTCTATAGACTATTTAGTACGGGCATTTCATGAGAGTCATGCATGGGCAAGGCAGGATTTGGACTAGGATAGAGGACAAGAACATAATTGATGAGCATCTGTTCAGGCAGAATCTGTGAAGAAGACATAGTAGGCACAACATCGGAGAGCTAGTTGACGAGGGAGATGAGGTCATAGCCAGACAGCAATGCTTGAAACGTGTGGCGTACGTCGCAAGCGCGAATATCAGCAGGGAGAGAGTTCCATGTGGTACTGCCAACAAAGGCGATAGAGCTACGGCCTGAGGGACCAGGTAGGAACGGCACTCTGAGCAGCTGGCTGACCTGACCACGCGTGACACAACTTCTGTCCACATCCGTGGCAATGAGGGAGTAGTAGGATTGGAACAGTGAGCTGGCTCTGCCATGAAGGCAGCGGAAGACGAAGAGAAGCAGACGTTGCACGTACAGCTGGTGGAGCTGAGGCATTGATAGTCTGGCAAATAGGGGAGCAGTGGGGGTCCTTCTGGGGAGTTGGAAGATGGCTCGTATGCCAGACTTAGCAATGCGTAGCAGTCGATGTAGCAGCAGTTTGGATAGAGCAGGAAAGAAACAGTTTGAGGCATAGCAGAGAACAGACTGGATCATACTCATGTACCAGGCCCGGCGGGCATTGAGTGAAAGGCACCGTCCATGGCGCCAGAGCTGCCCGATTGTAGTAGCAGTCTTGCTGGCAATAAAGTCCACTTGGGGCTTCCAGGACAGTTGGTCATCAAGCATGACACCGAGATACTTCGTGACTGGAGTAACATCAAGCACTGTGGTACCACACTTCACTTCAGATGGTCCATCCAGACACCCACGGGGTCTCACAAACATAACTTGGGTTTTACTGGCATTTAATAGCAGACCAATGTTGTCCAAGTACTCAGCGAGTCGTGTTACAGCGTTAGAGAGAACAGAGCACACTAAATCAGGCTGATAGTCGGAGTAGTCCAGAGCCACATCATCAGCGAATTCCTGGTGGCATACACTACCTGGTAGAACTGACGACATATCACTATCACTGGTGTACAGTACAAAAAGAAGAGGGCCCAGAACGCTGCCTTGAGGCACTCCTCGGGAGCATCCAACATATTGCGAAACTGAGTGTTCCACCCGCACACACTGCTGCCGCTCCGAGAGATAACTGAGGAACCATTCCAGTGGTGTGTCACAAATGCCAAGGTCAAACAGCACTTGCACAAGCCTGGCATGCTGGACTCTATCAAATGCCTTCGATAGATCTACCATTACTACCCCGGTGTGTTTTCGTTCCGATGCTGTTTTGCCTAGCTCATCATGCAAGCTATCAGAACTGCCCCTCATAATCGGATTTTCTGGCCTTTTATAATAATACATTGACCTGCTGAGCCAACGAGGTAAAATTACATTCCATAAAATACGATACAATACAATAATTTTAATTGGTGCTTTTCCCCAATGTCATGCGGTCGTATTTGTTCAGCTTTTATTTCTTGTGTACTTGCATACTGGTATTAGTTTAGTCTCTCAACCTGCGATAAAATGATCAGCTGTAGCACCTACTCCACTTTTATGTTTATGCATCTATGTCATTCGGATCTTCCCAAGTTGTACATTGTACTGTTGAGATACCGAATTCAAATTAATCAATACCAATACAATAATGTCCTTGCCTTGATAGTGTGCTTGGACGGCAGAATGCATGGTTGGCTGTGGAGCACATTAGATTACTTTACAGTCTCCTATGATACACATCCTGCCCGACGCAAAAGAGGCTGCGGATTTAATTTTTCTGCACGTTATCAGCAATGACTACTGATCTTCAGCAACTTGGGTCTCCTATAATACGCATCCTGTGTATGCGTAAAGCTTTTGTAATGCTAACATAATGCTCGGGATAGCACTTGCTTCTGATCTTCAAAAACTTGGCCTAACTTTCACTCACAATAAGACTGTTGTAATGTTCATCGTTCCCAAGCGGTCCCTGGTATCTCCGACAATTTCATCGTGCTGTTGTACGACATGCTTTACGACATCCTTATTTTTAAAGAGTTGGCACCAGGGAGTCGTCAAATACCGGGAGTGGAAACGAGATGCGCGAGCGTGATCCATGCTCGCCTCGCGCTGGAGCACGCCGATTTTTTCCAAATAATCTTTTTTGTGCCACATTCACCAATTCCGCGGGATTTTCAAAATGTCAAAATCTATTTTGGTTCTTCCTGCAAGCGGAGCAGTTTTGACGTCTCCATACATAAACCTTCTCGTCAGATTTCCGCTTCCCTTTTGTAGTATTATCACTCTTCGTCGTGGATTCGTCGGCAGTGCATGGTCATGCTGGACAGGGAGATATCGGTAGCCATTTTACGAGTGATGTTTGGAACTTTGGCGAGAGGTGAGTAAAACCAAGCTTTATCGAGTGAATACTTCTATCACTGAATAGCTTTGTTTTGGTTTGTTACACATGCATGCTGCATGTACGGAGCATTCGATTTATCAACCTCCAGTCAAGTACAGACCCAGGGAAACTTCTGTTGCAAGGGCCATCCACTACGCCGTGAAGTTGAACAGCCCCGAAGTTGTAACCTTTTATCTAAGATTGACATATTTTATCGTGATGTTGCACATGCTGATCGTCATCGCCGAACTGACCTGTTGAAGATGGTGAAGAGGAGAAAGGTTGACACTATTAATCTGGCCTGGACGTCTCTCCTCGAGACACTGTCCAAGTTGCCAAGTCATGAGAAAATGGATGTCCTGGGTGAGTATCATCTCTTTTACTTGCCTAATGATCGTGCATAAATGTGAAACTCGTAAAAAGAAATGCAATGGTAGATTTAAGAAACTATGTGATGGTCAGGAATCAGGATACACATGGCATTATCTACCTGGATGAATACTTGTGACAATTTAAATATAGAAATACTGCGCTGTTTTCCGTGTGCGTTTTGTCCAGACCTGGAGACCACATCAGCTGTGTTTTCAAGTTTTTGCGGTACAGTAGTGGCAAGAAAGCCGTCCATCATGCCAGCATCATCCGCAGCAGCAACAGCAGCAGCAGCACCCCTGCCCACCGCCATAGTCAACTGCACTGCAGAGACACCAAAAAGATACCATGGTGGTTGGTATGTTGTTGCGGTGAGAAGAGAACTGGAAGCTAGCAGAAAGCCTGAGTTAACTAGCGTCAAGCCGGTGTTGGCGACTTTCGGCTATGAAATTCTGGCCAACATGTCTCCGAATCTACCAAACTTTGAGAAGATAATTGAATCTGAGACACATGAGCATCCACCATGTGTGTGTTCGTGTGTGTGCATGCACAGCGTGGGCATGTCAGTATGTGTGTGTATGTGTGTGTGTGCTGCCAAAGATGTCTCTCTTGTCGTGCCGATTGAATATGGTCCCTGATCTCTTGGCAGACTGCCGACTTTCTGCCGTCGCTCGGCGTTTCCATGTTGTCGGCCCCGCAAGGGGACAGGTGACCGTAATGGCAGTGTTTACCAGGACCCGGTTTGTGTGTATGTGTGTGTGTGTGCATGCATGCATGTATTCCAGTGTGTGTGTATGTGTGTGTGTATGTGTGTGAATGTGCGTGCATGCGTGCATGCGCAGTTCGTGCATGCCGTGTGTGTGCATGTGCAGTTTGTGCATGCCAATGAGTACGTGCGCACCCGTATATTGGTGCGTGCATGTGCGCATGCGTAACTGCTGACACCCAAAGTTGGCAAAAAGAAGCGAGACAGAAAGGGAGAGGGATTTAGAACAGTTTAATTCGGTGTGCATTGTCAATTCTGTGATACTCGCCACAATCGGCCAAATCTGTAATTGGATTCTCAGTGTTGGTGGTGCATATACGTTGTCACGCTTCCTCTTGACATGAGACATACTGAAAGCGGTGATGTTCTCTTACACTGAAGAAGAAAACAAGAGAAATTCCTTGACTTTATAATAATGTTGTCGTGATTTAAAAATCAATAATGTTTTAGAAACGAAGGGTCCCTCAAAAAGTCAGTGGCATACCATCTTACACCGAGAAAATTCACAGGTAGCACGTATATGAAAAGGACAATGGTTACGAGAAGTTTTTTCGTGGGTCGAACCAAGTGGCTTTGATTACTGAGGCTGAGCTATTTTCCTCGATAAATTACATCAAAAGTCACGTCACTATCCGCGCGTGAATCGGGCCTCCAGTCATACATCGCAACACTGCGATAACGCCTACCGATAAATTAGGTGTCCTCCTACTAGTAAACGAGCAGACCACTGCAAATATCTCTGTATACACGTTCTGATGGACGCTTTCTCCCAAAAAATACTCAAGGCTACTCTAAATTGCATTTGACGACGCTGAGGTACTCAAGGCACCGCAAAAATTTTGCGCGAGGCGAGCATGGATAATCAAGATTAACGGCGTTTCCACTCCCGGTATTTGACGACTCCCTGGTTGGCACCTATGAATTCAGGGGATGGCCCACGCCTGGTAAAAAGAAAAAGAAAGAAAAAAGAATGTCTGACATCCTTATACCGTACATACCGTACAACACCGTTTTGACGTCTTTGATGGTACGGTACGGTACATGTACGGGATTGCGCCAGGCATGCCGGTGGCAGACACAAGCAAACACGGAAATGTAGTGTAGGTATCATACATGTAGTTCAGCACTGCTAAGGGCTAATCGGGACACATACGATGAACATAACGCTTGTCTATGAATGCAGAGTGATCATTTTCATCGCTTGTGATGATGGTAAGAGGCTCTTGACTGTCGCAATATTGATAACCAGAATCGTCCATAGGATCTGCACCACCATGCTAGTGTGTCACTATTAGGCAACTGAATAAAAAAGAGAACGACAAGTTACGCTATACTGTCCACTAACACCACCAGTTACTAAACAATTCACATAAGGAGGGGAAGGTGAGCGCAACAAAGATAAGCACGAGCTGAAAGTCACTGCTGTGAAAGACGTTGGCGGATGTTCATGCATGTAGATGACGATACTGGTAAGACCATAGGACAATACGGTCAAACCTGCTATTCCAGAACGCAAAGCAACATTCCACACAACTTGTGTGGCTCAGGAGATGCGAGGATCAATAAAAGGGGAAGCTATGCCAACAAGACTCATGAAAAAACCGAACGCCTCAGTAAAACAGCACTGTACTTCGACTATGACAATTTAGATGGACAATAAGCAGCGGTAACAAGCAGCAGTTTCACATGACGATCGTTTCGCCGTATAGATAAAGACGGCTCTTCAGGTGTGCAGGAATGGCCTCAGATGGAGAGCCAAGGTTTAATTTATACAAAAGACAAAGACCAAGGAACTACAAGTTACGCTATACTGTCCATTAACACCACCAGTTACTAAACAATCAGCTCATGCGATAACATTGTACGACACTTACTTGGTCTTTCTCTTTTGTATAAATTAAACCTTGGCTCTCCATCTGAGTCCATTCCTGCACACCTGATGAGCGGTCTTTATCTATAGTATACGGCGAAAGGATTGTCGTTTGAAACTGTTGCTTGTTACCGCTTCTTATTGTCCATCTAAATTGTCATAGTCGACGAACAGTGCTATTTTACTGAGGCGTTCGGTTTTTCATGATTCTTGTTCGCATAGCTTCCCATTTTATTGATCTTCGTATCTCTTGAGCCACACAAGTTGTGTGGAATGTTGCTTTGCGTTCTGGAATCGTGGTTTGACCGTATTGTGCAATGATCTTGCCAGTATCGTCATCGACATGCATGAACATCCACCAACAACCTTCACAGCTGAGACTTTCAGCTCGTGCTTATCTTGGTTGCGTTCACCTTCCCCACCTTATGTTATTTCTATAACTTAGAACCTTCCAAGTTGGAAAGCTGTTGGAGTGCGCATCCAAGATGTGTTAAAGCTGTTAGCCAGTTAGTTGTTGAACGTCAGTACTGTCGGTCAGTGGCATGCAATGTTATCGCATGAGCTGATTGTTTAGTAACTGGTGGTGTTAGTGGACATTATAGCGTAACTTGTAGCTCCTTGGTCTTTCTCTTTTGTATAAATTAAACCTTGTCTTTCCATCTGAGTCCCTTCCCGCACGCCTGAAAAAAAAACAATCCACTCGGCAAGCCTCCAAGAAAGCACCACTCCCTGCTCAATACACAGTGTTTTGTGGAATTCACCCCGCATCAGTTGAGCTTGAGTAGGTTGGGGAAGATTGTTCCTGAAGAGCACCACTTATATAGTGCTCTCCAGGCACATACATCACCAGGGATACAAACTAATAATAATAATAATATAGTTGGGCGCAACTCAAGACTAATAGAATGGAGAAGAGTAGCCAGGTGTGCACTGCGTCCATGTGATAACGGGGTTGTGTGTGCAAGTCTATAAAGAGTGGAGGATAAGACCATAAGACTATGACTTACATCAAACAATCCTGACCCAGCTGCTACCCTCCATAACGGGCAGGCAGGCATTTTTTGAGATCAAGATATCAGTCCTGCCGATCCCGCCTCACTCAGGTAGCCTTGCGATACCGTCTCTTATGCAGATGGCCAGTGGGGTGCTTAAAACCTCACGCACAATAACTACGGCCCAGGTCGATGCCATGCAGGAGCAAAATTATTCATCATCTCCCATGTGGCTGCTGGCAATTGTCGCCAGGATCGGATGAGCTGAGGTGTGGTCAGGTGAATTGTCTCCGTCAACCGTTCTCCCGTTGAAAGCACCTTTCTTCCAAGGGTGTCTCTAGCTGGCTTAATGCGACTTCGCGTGGATACATGCGATATTAATTTTCCTGCTATATTATGCGCCCCTTTTCACTACCCTCAACTAATCAATGAGATATGCAGTTCAATTTTAAGTTGATTTCAGCATTTACAATGGCTCATAGTTATTAGTACTGTTTGCTCTCAATACTTGCATCCTTTAGGCAGAGAGCTAAACTTTGGTACTTTGAAGTATTTTTTAAAAGAACCGTCACTGATCAATCGCGGAGCTTTTTAGAGAAGCACAACTATTCAATCACAGAACTTGATTGGTGAAAACCATTCACCTTGAAACGACATTGAGTGACTTAAAATGTAGGCTGGCTTTGAACAAAACCATTGTATTGAAAGGACTTGATATTCAAAAGTATGTGACTCCGTGGAGATAGAAGCAACCGATCAAGACAGACAGTAGTGTACTGTAGTAATAAACAAAAAGGCGATGTGTATGTTTACAGCCATAAACAATAACTAGACATGCATCAAAACAAGTCCAGTAACCACAAGATAATACATGAGAAAACAGAAGGTAGATCATCTACTGTTTCCACGAATTCCGGAGAGGAGATCTAGACTGGAAACGAAGTCTAAACAGCGATAGAATGTGTTACGTACCCCTCTGACCAGCCTTTGTAATAGGTTGTTTTGTTGTTTCAGCTCATGCTCACCACCTTGCAAGGTTATCTGGGTCAGATGCAGAACATTCTGGTGCTGATTGCGTAGCTGCCGGGTGCTGGTCGACTTCTCGCGAAAATCCAATTTCAGGACCGTTAGAACAACGTGGCCGTTGGGCTTTACGAAGGGTACTCTAGCGTTGGTCTGAAATTTTTTGAAGTCAAAGTCCCCATTGCTAGGAAGACACCTGTAATGACTAACGCTGTGCGCTCGACCTAAGTGCTGCAGCGTTCCCAGGATAGTCCTCCGGTCCGATATTGACTGGCTCGTACAGCGCCGTCCATTTGCATCCACCTGTATCTCCATCGTGGCACAGGGAGCCAAGAAATCCCTGGCCAGCGTCCATGTTATTGAGCCTACCGTCAACACATGATGATCCTGTGCACTGGCGCTGGTGGTAGTGTTCGTCGCAATGCGGCAGAAGGTGGCGCACGATTCGGCTGCGAGCTGCTGATGTAAAAGGGTCGCGTCATCGAATCGATTGCTGTTGTTGTTCAGATACGCCATCGTAGCAGGACTGGTATAGGTGTTCCGATCCAGTGAAGGTGACGAATGACGATTGGACTGAACGCTTCGTTTACAAGGACTTCAGACACTTCGTGCTTCGTTTATATGTACGTTTGGAGTGTTAGAGAGGCAGGGTTGATAGGTGACGTGTCATTGGCAGTTCTGGCGTGCTGTTCTATCGCTTCCACAGTTGAAGTAATTGAGCTTCTGCTGCGAAGATTATAGTGTTTGCGTTACCTAAGTTCTTGTTCGTGACAGCTTCATGACAGAGGTATGAAACGAACAGGCGAAAAAGATAAACTACTTAGTAAGCTCCGATGTGTTTGGGTGTGGTTGTT